CTAACGCTGATTACGGTGGCCTGTCACGATTTTCCAGATCAGATGGAGAACCGTTAAACATTAGACCGTGCACACTTTCAGTGGGCCGGGCCTGCCAGCACTCAATCTCGACAATAATAAGACGATCTGTATTGATCAGTCTAGATTTTAATCGGTAGTTTCCCTCAACAAGGTAAATTGATAATGCGAAAAAATAATTGACTTGTTCTAATTGTAAGCTACTTAATTTTAGACTACACATTCGTTTTACAATTGCAAATTCTTGCTTTTAACTTCAAAACTACGTATTGAGCATTCGCTAATCATTACAGGAATTAATCAGGTATTTTACATTTGAACAAAGTAAATGAATTTCTTATTTCTGAGTATTTTATTATAAAGTTTAATCCTAGAGTAACTGAGAATTTTCATAAGCGTTTAAAAAAGGAAAATTGATTAGGATAAATTTTAACGACCATGACCTGCTTGGGCAAGATCAATGTCAACTGTCCCTCCTATAACTTTAATTTTCAATATCTTTTTCGATACCACTCATTTTCAGTTTTATTCAAGGTGGGTGAAATTGTAGCCCCGCCCTGTATGATACACAGTATTTCGTCAGTTGCCACAGTCGCCTAAAGGTTTTGATTGCGCGGAAGGACAGCCGCATTTTATCATGAGTTGGCTGGAAATTAATCGGCGCACGCCCCGCACAGCATGATGCATACCAGATCGGTTCGAAAGTCTCGCGTACACCACCCTGTCTCAAGGACGAGTCGTGTGCCAACAAAACAGCGCAGAATGTCTCGAATATTCGTTCGATCGCTGCCGATTGTAGCCACTCCGCTCTGGCTTCATCGATGTTATCGTCGCGAATACGCGACACGATTTCATCCAAACTCGTTGCAAGAAACGCTGTGTCTCACTATTATAGTCTGGAATTTCGTTTAACCGATTCAGTTTCTACATCGAATACATAATTGCACTGTGTATCAAAATATTACGTGCTTGAAAATGTTCTCTTGAAATGTAGCAAATGTAGTTCTTGTTTTTCATGCAATAATTATATTTTATTTTAGTTTCATTGCTCATCTGTTTCCATTGTTATCGTAATAAAACTTCAAATATAAATTGGCATGAAACCACAATATACCAAAATATTAGGGTGGTGCATATGAAGTGTCAGAATCGAAGTTTTAATTAACCGGGTTTATTATTTCTTTTGTAAAGTTGTAAAGAAATCTGTACAAATTGAAGATCACGGATGATTGGACATCGCGGGCCGCAGTTCGGGGACTCCTGATTTAAACGTAGCCGTCCATTCGTTTCATGATTTTTCTCGTATCTTATTTTAAAGGGCAAGGTCTCATTAGTTTCACGCTGCGACTACTTTGCGGTTGGAATCGAAGAAACCGATTCGCTTGAAAAATGTTGGTCGTTGCCCGATTCGGCACAATATCACCTGCTTTTCTTCTGGCACATTTTCACATAGAAAATAGAGACAGAAAGAAATCGACACGGTCCAATGAGTAGAACTATAAGTTTCGCTTGGACGAGATGCCACGAGAAAGAACTATCCAAGTGCATCTGCAATTTACAGCGTTTCAAAACAAATAAATTAGATAAAGAACTGTATCTAATTCATAAATCTCGTAAATGGTTGATACGCATATTTGTATTGTGTTTGTAATTACATTCTATATTTTTATATTAGACAAGTTTTTGTTGCAAAGTAAAAGTTATCTCGATCAAATTTATTTATGTAATATACAAGTAGTGAGTAGAAATTAACTAGGACATTGGGACGTTCACCTCATGTGTTTATTAAACTATGTACTGATATAATAAAGAATTTATAACAGAGCAAAGCAAAGTAATAGGAAAGCGTGAACAAAGAAATGTTTATTTCTTTGAAATCTGGTATTTCAAAGACGTAATCTTCCTGGTATGCATAAATATTAAAAGCGGTAATTAAATCGACGTCGCTTTCTATGCACTTCAAGGAGGCGTGTAACGTGTTTTTATGCAAGAATTTTCTCTTACATCGGTTCCACACCAGTTATTCACAATACAAGGCATCGCGTAATTTTATACGTCGATTCTTTCTCTATACGTAACAGAAACACGATAGAACGGTCTCATAGATGCGAGGAATGTTACATCAAGCAGACGCATAAATCGTTACATAAAAAAGCGTACAGAATAATCGTTGACGTTTTTGGAAGTGAAATTAATGCAAAATCTATGATCAAAGCGATAGCTAAGGATAGGAATTCATTATGACGGAGAACGTATGCAATTTATTAAGGGAAACGTGCGTTGCCGAAGACAAAGTAAGAGGAAAATGAAAAAACAAGTGAATTCGTTACGATAATTAAAAACGACGGAAGTCTAGTTGAATACTTGCGTCAGAAAGATTGCAAGTATGTACTGAGAGTGATAGTTGAAATGACAGCGCTTCCTGTAAGGCACTTTCATCGCAAGAATCGAGTTCAAACGAAGTATGCAATTAATTCAACAAACAGAAGCTTACTCGCAACATTAACAACTAATTTTATTGTTAAGTGACTTAATTTCATAATTAGTTTTTATCTCCAAATACTTGTACATCTGTTTATTACGTACAGTGGCTCTCATTTGTATTCGGGCACAGTTCAAAGCATAATAACTTTTTTAATATTGGACCAAACAAATTAATTTTTCGTGGGATGTTAAAAAGTTTAATTTACTGTATAAAACGTGATAAAAAATTGAAAGAAATTGCTATTCGACAGATAACAAGAATGGGTCATAATTTTTAACTTTTTTTACTAACGAAACATCTTATTTGTATATCTAGCAACATTTTTTATTTATTTGTATATTAATCTGGGTACACCTTCTATATATGTAAAAGAGCTTCCTAACTCATCGTTAAAGTCCTGGCTACGTTACTGTAAATGGAAGTAGTTAAATAGGTGAAGACACGCGCAAGGTCTTATTGATACCTCGTACATAGCATGAACTAGGGCATTTCTATAACTGAAGAAATCCGCTGTAAATGGTGCATCGGGGTAAACTTCAATTTCCTTGTAACAGTTTATCACGATTCATCTTCATTATTCCTGTTATGAAGGAAATATTTCCCATGGTTGAGTCAGTTCGTACACGTCCTTTAGATCGTTACGTGGTCGTAGTCCCGACTTCCGGTACAGTAAAGCGACTCGGTGGGCTCTGTGTGGCTCGCCTTGGTGGGAACCGCCCCAGCGGCGCTCACGTGTGTTACGTAATTTCTACTACTCGGGTTGACCCGAATACGGGGCGAGGCAGTCGAGGCACAAAGATTACGGCGTGCCTGGGTTGGCTTATACCGTGAGAGATTCCGATTCAGAGCGTCGTCGTAGTTTAGCTCGCCGCGACGGTGAGGTGTTTCGCTTCTGGATCTCCTTGAACCGAGAACGAAATGCTCGTGCAAAAGACAGGCGGCACCACGCCTCGCGACGACCCACAGGAAACACACTACGACACTCACACTTTCTTGCGTTAACTCTGGCGCTGGTGTACGGTCGTTTTCGTTACCTTCTCTTTTAATAATCGAAAGTATCCTTGACCAGTTTAAAAAATAAATTCGGTTTCCATTCAAGTTCAAATGAACATGACGCAATACAGTAGAACGTCTATTAAGTATTCGGTTCGTTTATCGATACGAACTGGCTGCATCGATGCAATAAAAAGAAAGCAATCCACAAAAAGGGTCTACTATCCTTGCCTGACACAAATACCACAGCATAAACATATATTTAAACCAGGAATAACAAGTACTGTTGCATATGAACGGCTAGACAAAGAAAGAGATCATTATCTAGCAATTTTCTCTTTTTATCGTTCAGTCGATTATCTGGCTCGCTCACGCTATCTATTCTTACGTGTCTATGGTCAAAAGTAGTTTAAACTATTACGTTAACCAAGTATGCCTCAACAAAATCTCAAGAAGCAGTTTTCTAAAATAAAAATGACACCCACAGGATTTCCTGAAAGCAAGAAGGAAATGAAAAGTCGAGACCACCAATGTGACATTGATAGGATCTCAGGCGAAGGGCAAACTCCATTGCAACATTTGCATAGCAAACCAATATCTGTTCACATCTTTTTCCTATAACACCCCGAGTTTATCGAGTATCGTAACATCACGATGAGCACACACAGTAATATTTTTCCTTAACTACGCCGTGTACGTGCTTCGAGCGAAGCGATAAAGAATTTAACCGCGCATACCTTACATACTTGTAAGAATGGTTCACTGGATTCCGGACTCGCTTCGCACATACACATGAAAAATGCCACACGTTCTTTCTTTCCATTTTTATGATCTTTACTGGTTTCCACGTGTCGTTGCTAGTTGAAGCATTTTATATACGTGTGTACGAAATGGGTCCGGAATTCCTTGAGTCACCCCTACGCATCACCATCACCCATACCCTTGATACGTGATTTTCAATATTTTTGGTATATAATTTCTCCGATTCTAGTGAATAGAAATTGATGAAAAAGATTAGAAATATATTACTATATGAGTAGTACATTTGAGAATTTTTCCATCGCATACCTTACATACATGTACGCACGAATTCGCGTTCACCGATCCGCAAAACTCTCGCTCTCTCTTCGCCATCTTCTGCTTCCTATTCACTTGTAAACCATATACACCTTGGTACAAATCCGGTTTCGTGGCTGGAAACTAGAATAACAGCCTGGTCATTCTAGGCGACATTCTAATCCAACAATTTCGATTACGGTTCGCGTGACGCGATAGAACCCCTTCACGCTGCAACTATGCGTACATATTAGGTTCGCGCATATAAAATGTTGCTCCCCTAGAAAACGACAAATGTTTATGTAGAATATAGGCCTTGTTATATAAGTGTGATTGGTTCCTCCGAGTATGTTTGGGTAAAGATCCTATATTTCTAGCTACGCCTCTGACGAAAACAAAAGAAGATTAACGTATCGCAATTGTTTGAATTAATAACTTTAATTTGCAGGTAATCCCGCTATGCCTTCTGCTGTTAACGGAAGCAAAACGAGCGGAGATCCGTCCGCGTGTCGCGGAACCGCAAGTATATTACGAAGAGGACGACAGCCAAGCGGCTGAAGACGATTACAGCTCGCCGGTCTACCAAACACGTACACGTGCCCTTCATTCACCGCGTTCGAAGGACGCCCTGCACTCATCAAGACCGCCACCAGTCCAGACGATTCGTAATTACAACAAAGTAAACGACGACGGATCTTTCACTTTCGGCTACGAAGCAGCTGACGGATCATTCAAAGAGGAGACCCGCGGAACCGACTGCGTAGTGCGCGGCAAGTACGGCTACGTAGACCCCGACGGCAACAAAAGAGAGTTCACTTATGTCTCCGGTAATCCCTGCGACCCGAACGCGCCGAAAGACGAGGACGATCTCGCCGACGAGCAAAAGGAAGACGAGCTCTCCGGGCCGGCGAATTATCCTTCGGTGAGACCGGTGCCAAGGCCCGTGAGACCATCCTATCAACAATCCACCACTCGGGCACCTACCACGATCTTCCAATCGCACTATAAATTAGACGACGACGCGAGCCAAGAATTGGGCGATGAAGACGTGGTGAGACCCTCGCAGCTACGAGAAAATGGTTACAGAGGACAGCAGCCGAGTTACGTGCCAGTAACACCGTCAACGGCTCTGTACGAACCGTCGCCTACGGCCAGTCCAGCTCTGTACAGAATAGCGTCCTCGACTACGCAGTATCAGAGCACGGCGTCGCCGATTCTTCGCAGCCAACCTACGGTGTCCTCCACGGCTTATCAGACCCACGAAACGACCACCCGACGTCCGGTAACCCGTCACCCGAGGCCGCAATCGGTCGCGATCACACCCAGACCCCACGTAGCCCAGGTAGCCGCTCAGTACGTGTCCCCAAGCAGCACGGAACGCGCTGCGCTGTCCTACACTCGAGCTCCCTCCTCTGCAGCCACGGTATCGTCTAATTCCCGCACTACACCGGCATCGGCCGCGGCTCACCTCGACTTTGCTGCCGAGCTCGAGCGTTACGTGAACACGGTCAGCGTGGCGCCAACGCCTAAACCCCAAGCGCAAGCATCGAAAGTAAAATTATCGAGTCAAAGCGCAGGTATCGGAGCACCCGCCGCGGACCCTATCTACCAATCGGAGCTAATTTACGACCCCTCAACCGGTCAGTACAATACCCAACTATATCAAACGCTACCCCAAACCGTGGGTGACTTCACCCTAAGTCACAAACTGCAACCATTCGTAGCCCAGCCCCAGTCCTATTATGGACTGCAGCAGTTGCAGCAGATCCAGCCCCAACAGCCACAGCGTCAGTCCCCGCTTTATAAGGCCACCCAACAATCCCAGACTGCACCCGCGCCCGCCGCACAACCCCAGGAGGTCCTTTACAGAAAGCAGCAGTCGCAACTGTTGCAGCAATCGCAACAGCTTTACGCTCAGCAGCAGCGACGTCAACAGCAGCAGCAGCAGCAGCAGCAACCCTTGCAGTCGCAGAGGTTGCAGTTCCTCGAGTCGCAACCTCAATCCTTTTACTACGTAGCACCCGCGAGGTCCTCGAACGCTGCCAGCGCACCTCTCTCCGCGGGACAGATCGATCAGTATCTTCGAGCGAACGCTGGTCGTTATTGATAATATTCTACCATTCTACCGTTTATCGCAGCGCGTTTCGTACGATAGGAATAAGGTATCCCTTACGAATTTTTTATACTATACCATTATGTATCATATCAGTAGCCAGTTTACGCGAGATGGTGCTGTCAGTGGGCCTGGCGCGAGTATCTGGGATCGAATATAATTTCGCTAAATGAATTCATTCAAGGTTGTCGAGGAGGCCTGTTGACTGGGCAATGTTGCTTTTGTAATGGATGCGGTATTCGTTTATTTCCTTTGTACAACTTGGCATAATTTTGATAATTTATTGATCTTTAAGAATGTCGATGTTACCCATGAAATTGGCCAAAAATTGATGGCCCATTTTTTGTACCTGTATTAGAATATTTTTGGATCGTCAAGTGTTCCTTTCATGGAGAGACGAGAATTCTACTGCTCTCTGATTATTATTTTATGAGATTATGTTGACGTTTAATAATTTGAACGTTAGAAGGATGAGAGAAAAATCGGCGACACACAGCTATTGCATTTATATATTTGTTCTTGTTGAAGATATTGCTTTTGCCTGTGTTTTAATATTTGTCTTTAGAAATAATTGTTAACACTTGTTCCTGTCTTCCACTCATACATACACGATAAATCTTTCCATGCAGATAATAATTACTGCGCTTCTCTTGTTAACTTGTGAATTGTTGTAAATCACTTTGTAAGTTAAGTTAAACATACATTAAAATACGGTAAGTATCTCAGTGAATCCTGTGTAAAATTTACTCAAAAACATAAATCTTATCAGTTCTGGATGAAATTAATACCAGTGCGCCTTAGGTTGAATCCTTCTCTCTCCAAAATGTACTGGACAACCGAAAAATATTCTAATACAGGCTTGAAAACCCATATTTTACACTGTTTTTGTTGTGTTATTGGTAAAACAAAAGAAAAAAACGTGAAAAATTTAGCGACAAATATTCGAAAAGTCACGTGACTATCGTAGCCTCTTAATATAATTTCTTTGTTGCATGATATTTGATATTTAGTAGCCTAGAAAAATAATCTGTGCATGACAGACACAATAAGGCTTCAAGTATTAACCATAAAGCTGCATAAACATAATTACGACAATATCGACCAAAGTACAATTATTGACACTGTGATAGAACTAACTCACAAAATCGTATTATAATATTTAAACTGCACAAAAGTGCAAGTTTTCGGTGTTCTCGGTGTCCACCGTTTACAAAACAACGAAACAATTAAAAGTACATACCGAGCAATTATACCAGTTTATACTAACTACATGTGTCAAACTTTCAAACAAGTTCAAGTTCATTCCCATTTCGCTAATATCCAGGAGAAAGCCAGTTCGTTAATTATTATATGTCAGTAAAAAACCACTCGAACTTTTTCCGGTACCTAATATATTCTATACAATTTTTTTATTAATAGTAGTCTAATGATAGCTTCGAAATATCAAGATCGTTCTTCTCTTTAAAAAACGACGACTTGTCGAATAATGAAATTTCATAAGCAATAACTAGATCGGCTTCGAAAGCATTTTTTTCCTCATTGTCAGATCGGTTCACGAACGAGCTATCGTTAGAGAGTGAAAGTCAATGACCTGACGCAATACTCACGCATACCATACCGCGATACGTTACCGCAGCAATTTCTCGTCGCGTTCACGTTCACAGTAACATGCTATACCGCACAGATTCTACGCGGCGAACGGAATATTCATCAGCGTTTGCGCACGATCCCGACGAACGTGCTCGTTTACTGATTCGATTACAAAACCCGGATAGATCCTTTAATCGCGTCAAGACAATGTTTCCCAGAGAAATGATTCATAGGAGACACAGGACATACAGAATCCAATTGATCCGCGATTTACAGAGAGCATATCAGTAAAAAGTATCAAATATAATTTTTTAATGATTCAATCAGAGCTGTTTTTTCACACAAAAATATTCTTTTTAATGATTTAATTAAAACAAATTCTGTACGAATTCATTAAATGAATTTTGACAAATTAAAATATGTCCCTGTCAAGTTGTTTAATGATATCAATCATCATAGGATAATCATAAATGACACTTTTTACTGATTCACTCTGTACATGCATGTTGCTTATGAATGAAGAGTACTACTATTTCTGGCTGCTTTCCGTAGTAAGTTAATAAGTAGACTGCGAATTTTATATATTTATAACACAGTTTGAATTATTTTTTATCACAGATAAATTAAATCATGACTTTTTTATTTTCAGCTCGTAAAGATCAAAAATTATTTTTGAATGAAAAAAATGTTTAGAAGTTGAAAATAAGTCTTATTACTTAAGACATATTTTGTTCGCTCAAAATGTTGCATCTTGTTTCTGACTGAACATTAGGAATTTATAATTGGTTTCATTAGATTCAGTAAAATCTCCCATTTGCTTAGATTGTTCTCTACATTACTTAAATACTGACCTTGTGACTTTTTGACATTTCTTGTCATTAGTTGTTGATTATTTAATCTTTGATTTTTACTTTTATTTAAAAACCGATTTTTATTTTGTCGATAAAAAATACTGTTGTTTCTTGATTTCGTTCTCAAATTCATTTCCTGATTTATAGAAACATTTGATATGCACGACATATCATTATGTTGCGTCTTACTGCCCATAAAAATGTCCATTCATTCAGACGAATGAATCATACAATAGTTTATTCATCGTTATTTTTTATGGATAAAATAGATTTGATTTAGACATGAAAAAAGGAAAAATTCGCAGTCTAGAAAACTGTTTTAGATTTTTCAGTTATTCGCTAGAGAATAAATAGAAGCAATCTAAATATTACTTGGAATGCGACTTTCACCACAACTGGCATGCTATCATGCCATTTTGGTCGGCACCTGCGGTTAGCGTGATTCAATTCCTAAATTATCAGCCTGCTGGACAGAACACGGGCCGCCTAAATCGGAAGCAAAATCGACTTTTGCAACAGTTACGACAAATGCAAGCCTGCCCCAAGATTAGCCTCGCTATGGGTAACCGTAACGCAATACACTTTCATTGGCGTGGTCCGCAAAGACATTCTATTCAGCCCGAACTTTCTATTTGCATTCCGGTGTATCGCAAGTGTGAGAATCGATTCAAATCTAACGCGTCCCGCTGGCTCAAAACCAACTACAGATATGCGACGGTGGAAACATGGAGTGCGAGAGATTAAAAGGCGTGGAACCTTTCGTCGCGTCAATTGTAAGAGATTTCACACGCACTGATAAGTTCACCCATGTTCGGATAACTCATTTCCGATTCAGGATACGCAAGGATAAATTGCCGTGCCTTCGCGCAGACACGCGTCATTCTAATATGATTTATAAATCTGTTCCCATACAAATATTAGAATGTTTACGAGCTAATTAATTGACTAATGGAATTACTAAAAGGAGAGCAATTAATGGGAGAATAAAATTTAATATTAGATTCTTATTTAGATAAATGAGGAGTCACGTGAACTTGTCACAATTTGTCTACGTGTATGTTCATTTAGGACCCAACAATTATGTATTCGTGCACGTTTTTTATTAAAATTTAGACAGAGTACATCCGGAAGAATAATACTTAATATCTTATAACTATTGAAAAGACGAATTCAATGATCACTTATAAATCATATATGAATTGTTAGAACATGCGAATTCCACGTAATCTCAGATACCCGATGCCAGGTATGCGATTGTCAAGCTCGTTGATTATATTTATTAGCGGTAAGCCTGATTGGAGAATAAAGCGAAAAATAGGATTTCGTAATGGATACTAGAGTAGAAAAGATAATAGGAAAGAGGCGTTTCAGAAGAACGAACGCAGATCTAGCGCAATTACGCAATGATTGTACTTATACTTCTAGCTTTTTCTTATGTATGTCAGTGGTACCGTGCAGGTATGTCGATATGCACTTTGTCTACTATGTAAATATTATCTCTCGTTAGCATTTAATATATTATAAATATATAATATTTCTACGTATCAGTACTCAGTACTATTTTATTGGTAAGGAACACACGTCTCTTACGTTCATAGTTGTTTTTTTTATTATTTGTAAACGTGATATGAAAATGTATTGTAATGAAACATATTTCAGTCTTATTTTTATTCCTTCAACAATCTATTATCTCTTTAGGTAATACCGTTGAACTATGGTTACCATATTTTCTCCATCCATATCCATATCCTCTTTTGTAGACCTGAAATTTCAGTCCAGTTGGATTTTTTAAATGTGCAAAAATATTTTTTTTAATTCATATTAACATTCATTAGCATGTACATTAAATTATTGAAAAAAAGGAGTGATAGCAAATGCTTAAGACGGTCTTAAGAACAAACAACGACTCTGAATACTGCATAGAGTTAATATAGATAGAGTAGGCAAAACATAGGCGCGCGTGTAAGTGGAAACATCACATCGATAGAAAGAGAGAAAAAACGAACTTGGTATTATTATTTCTTCTCTGTTTTGTCGTGAGAGAAAGATAGCACCACCAAATCCAATTTCCTTTCTCTTTTTATTCACCGGACGCCTACCTACCGGGCTTGCCTACTCTATCTATACTAACTCTATGGAATACTGGCCGTTATCAAAATATTCGATTGCAAGGAGTTTGAAACTGTTCAATTGTTTAATTTTATATAGACATAAACGAAAAAATTCAGCAACATGAAATTTTGACAGAAAACGTTTTGATTCTACAACTAAACATCAAAATTTGTCGTTTATTACTTATTAAACAATAGAAAAATTGTTTAATATACACATATACAATTTTTCGAATTTATTACCTATTAGATAAATTACATATTTTAGTTATCGATAAATCTCGTTAGTGCTAATTGTGAAGGACTACAATCCTATTCTTTCAACATGCAGTGTGAATTTTCAAGAGGACGTGGCACCGGCGTTGCAGAGGCCATTGGAAATTGGGGCTTCTGCAGCAGAATAGGAAAATGTGGGAACGAACTTAGTCGTATAAGATGTCTCTTCAACAAAATGGATTGTTTGTAAGAGTTGATCCCCCAATTTATTCAACCCTCCATTGTATCGAATAGAAATAAAAGGAGTTATAAAATACTAAAATATAAATAATTTATAAATTAATTTTTCACATACATACAACAATATTATTTTGTGATTGTCATTTCCTTTAGGAGATGTACAAAACCGATGCCTTGTGTAAAATACAACCCGAGGTATGACCCAGAAGCTTGGGACACTATACCTAGCCCTGACGAGTGCAAACCATTATGGAACTTTCCTATGAGAAGACCACTCATCGTGTACAATTCTACAGCTGATATAATTAAGACTTCGAATTTAACTGAAATTGGTTCAGATTTATACTATCCGATCCCGGGACGAAGTTACGCCCTGCAAGGTGTACGTAAAATATTTATCGAGATTTTCGTATAATCATTAAATTTTTTAACTTAACATCGTTTTTCAACAGACGGATAAATTTTATCGATGCGACGCCTGCTGCAGTCCACCATGCTTGCCACTTTGTATGACACCGTGTCCACCAAAGTCCTGTTGTTACTGAATTTAATAATTTTCATGTCTAGTACAAATCAATGATAGTGCTAACTTGATCAATGCGTTTTGTGAAATGTTCACAACATCTTGTAATTTGACTGTTAAATTCGTGAAATATTCTACGTGTATATTATATCTNGAGCAATGACTCTGAATACCGCGTACTAAATGAATTAAAATCGAATTCTTATTTTTTTTTTAAACCAACTAAATTCATGCCATAGATCAGGAATTTTAGAACAAACACATTCACTTCAGTCAATCACTCACAAAATTCATTGCAACATTTTTCGGCATGTTCTTCAAAATTTCAGTTTAATACCCTGTACAACATGAAAAATTAACAAGTACTTTACAATCCTTATTACCGTTTTATATTATTTGAAAATCCGAACAAGATGCAGTGCCATACAATTTGCCACGTAAAACCAGTGCCACCGGAATGGTTAGTTCAATTTCCAAATTATATAATGTATTTATTGTACTTACTCAATTTAAAAGAAAAGTAGATTCATTAATAGCCGAACATAGAAAATATAATCTACAAGATTTAATAGACACAAAAATTAATTTTCCTCTGTTCAACAGTAATCATTATAGAAACGAAGCAGTACATACAAATACGAGGTATAACAATGCGCAAAAGAAGGAAGAATGTAACAGGCCATGTACCGAAAAAAGCCCATATGTACCCATGTTTTTAATGATTCCATTTGGAGAAGACATCTTCGATTCATCACAGAGCAGAGAAAAGTGTGTAGAAAAACCACCGACCGACAAAACTCGTTGTCAATTGTCGAAGGTGAAACCTACTAATACTATACAAAATAATGATAATAAATAAATTGAAAACACTCGCAGCACTTTTAAACCAGACCTCCTAACATCCCACATAAGTGAAGAAACTTGTTTTATTTTGATGTGTGTTCGACTATTAATAGGATTCACTGTTGGTGAAGTAAAAAACAAATGAAAGACGTTAATTTTTATTTTAGGACGAATTGAAATTTCCTGAAATGCGAAACGGAATTCTGTTCACAAGGTGCCAGTGCGTGCACAGGGATGGCCTTCAAGATACATGTCCATTGAGCCAGTGCCAAAATGGACCGAACTGTCTAGTTAAACCGTGGCCTTGTTGTTTACCTGCGAAGTATTTACAATCACGACATCCACGACAGTATCCACCATGTCAATTATAAAATCATTGCCTCAGTACATGTAAATTTCTCTTTTTACTGTATATTTACCTGGAAATGATTACGTTAATAAGGAACGATAGCCCTGAATATTGAAACACATATTACATTGTACAAATACAGTATAATATACAAACTATTAATACTTACTGATATTCCCTCTCAGATTAATTATTCTAATACTTGTAACATATAATGAAGATTCAAATAAAGCAACTCATTTACTGTGAAAGAACTTTATTGCTCTTTTTATTGAAAATTGGACAACGTAAATAGGTTGTTTAAATTTAAAAAACAATATCAAATGCTTATATGTAAAATGCATATAAGTGTTAATTTCTTTACATTTCATCCATTTACATTTTTTTTTCTTTCTTAACATTAGAACAATTTTAGTTTACAAATATGACGGAAATCGAACGTACATAAATCAAACTTATTATCTCGAAACAAAAAATGTATACAGAAAATATAATTTTGCTCGAGCATGAAAGAAGAACATTTCGGCCATCAGCATGGCGGGCAGCAGGGTAGACACGGAGGGTATGAGCATGTTGGAAGACACGGCGTGCAGCACATCGGTGGACACGGCGAGCAACACGGCGTACACGGTGAACAGATTGGCGGACATGGTGGCGGACACGGAGGCGGACAGCAGGGAGCACACGGTAGACACGGTGGGCACGGTGAACATCGTGGTGGACACGGTGGACAAGGTCCGCACGGTGAACAAGGTCCACAAGGTGGGCACAGTGGAATACATATTTGTGGGCATGGTGGACAAGGTGGTGGACACGGTGGTGGACACGGTGGTGGGCAGCATGGTATGCATGGTGGGCAGCATGGTACACATGGTGGACAGCATGGTACACATGGTGGACAGCACGGTCCGCATGGTGGACATGGTGGGCAGCATGGCTGGCATGGAGAACATATTGGAAAGCATGGTGGACATGGTGGTGGACATGGCGGTGGACACGGTGGTGGACAGCATGGTGGTGGGCAACATGGTACACATGGTGGGCAGCATGGTGTACATGGTGGGCATGGTGGGCACGGTGAACACGGTGTGCAGGGTGGTGGGCATGGCGGAGGACATGGGAAACAAATATTGTAAGTACAACAAGGCGGCACACAAGAGGATGGACAGCACAAGTCGACACAGACTGGTGCACAACAGGAACTAGGTGGACATGGTGGGCAGCATGGTCCGCATGGTGGACACGGTGGGCAGCATGGTCCGCATGGTGGACACGGTGGGCAGCATGGTCCGCATGGTGGACACGGTGGGCAGCATGGTCCGCATGGTGGACATGGTGGGCAGCATGGTCCGCATGGTGGACACGGTGGGCAGCATGGTCCGCATGGTGGACACGGTGGACAGCATGGTCCGCATGGTGGACATGGTGGGCAGCATGGTCCGCATGGTGGACATGGTCCGCATGGTCCGCATGGTCCACATGGTCCACATGGTCCGCATGGTCCGCATGGTCCGCATGGTGGACATGGTGTACATGGTGGGCGCGGGGCACATGGTAGGCACGGCAAGCATTTAGGGGGACAGGGCGAGCAACAAGGATCGCAACAAACTAATCTGCAATATGCAGCCAGAGCAGCTTCCCTCGCCTTATCAGCGCAGTAATATTTCTTCAGAGCCATATCCAAATCTCCAAGATCAGTTAACTTCAACAGAGCATTGCGACCTGGGCAGCAGACGGGATACAATTTCGTCATGCATTCTGGTCTACCCATGCAGAACCACATCATGCATCTATCTTGCAATCCGTTTCTCTTAATACATTCACATCTGTACATGATACTTCCGCGAAGGTCAACGCTTCTGCATTGTTTAAGCGGAATCTGAAATTGTTAATTCAGTCTTTGCATAAAACGTGTGCACTTATTCCCATAAGCAATACTGAAAATAGATTTTCAATACCGCTTATGTACATTAGTATTTGATATTTATTTGTGTACTTTATTACTGTACTAACATTTTTGTTACATATTCTATATTAGATTTCATTTGTACTTACACAGGGAACACAAGGATCACAAGGACCACAAGGACCACAAGGACCACAAGGACCACAAGGACCACAGGGACCACAGGGACCACAGGGACCACAGGGACCACAGGGACCACATGGGCCACAGGGACCACAGGGACCACAAGGACCACAGGGACCACAGGGACCACAGGGACCACAGGGACCACAGGGACCGCAAGGACCGCAAGGACCGCAAGGACCACAGGGACCACAGGGACCACAGGGCATACAACAAACAGGAGGTGGGCAAGGTGGTTCATCCCACTCGCATGGTTTTCTAGAAAATTGTAAAATGTAATAAATAATTCACTATCTCGTATACGTCTCTTTATCTTCAGTATATTCTTACTTCCTTTCCATACAACTTATCAGGCATTTTAGCTGAGCTAGCAATTCTCGCCTTCTATCGCAACTTGGATTCTTCCCATCACATGGCATTTTGGCACATAGAATTTAGACTTTATCCTTTTGTAGAAAAACTATAAAGTTTTTATATTTTTTTTACATATTATCACTATTTTTTATGGTGTTCTTCAACCAGTTTAATTTAGCATTAGAAAATTTGTATGGATCCAGAAAAGAATGGCGATATCGAGTGAAGTTGTTGTTAAGGTATACAATAAATGAATGGTACTTTTATTTATACTTCATTTGTTGATCATTCCTCGAACAAAATTCATAGTCATCGGTCGATATCTAAATTAATCAAAATTGTATTAAAATTTTCCGTTTAAAATTTCACAAATATTAATACACACACGAACAGGACAAGAGGAGAGGAATTATAGCGCATAATAATGTCCTGCGGAGGAAGTTCTTTGTCGTGTTGTCCCCCGACGTCGTGCTGTCCCGTGTTGCAGTACCAGTTACCGTCCTGTCCATCGTGTGTATCCTATCCATGTGTTCCACCAATTTGTGTCGCGTGTCCTCCACCGTGTAAAATTACGATATGTACGCCGCCAGTGCCGTGCGGACCTATCCCACCGAAATGCATCCCGTATTGTCCACCTGCGTGTGCGGCACGATGCGTCACGAGATGCACAGCACGATGCCTTAGATGTTAAGAATTTATGTCGTGTTAGAAGAATATGTACGTTCGTGTCGTTTCCTTTGTCCGTCCGGCACAGAGTAGAGTTTTAATAAACTGTGCATTTTCACGTTTTCGTACGTTAGGTGAGTACAAAAGTTTTGCGATTCTAAGTGCGAACAGTAACGTATAATATTCTTTTCCTATTTATTTAAAAACCGATTTCTACAAAATTAAATAATATCAGAGTCGCACCACGATAGGGCTAGTATTATAACAAATACTACTACATTATATGTGCCGATAATTATGAAAGTGGTCTAAGTCAAAATTCATTTTTTCTTTAATTTTGACTTAGACCACTTTCACAATTATGGGCACATATGTAACTTTGAACAAAATCTCTAACAGCGAAGTCAAAAAGCTGATCGATTTAGCATAAAATGACTCAATTAGATAAAACAATTGATAAATGCATTACATATTTACGTCAATTTACTTCTGTACTTATTCCGAAAATTTGCACTCACCTAGTATGGAACAATTAACTAAACTATGTTTTTGTTAAACAGATGTTGTATTACTATACCACTTGCACGTCCACTGGAACCGAAATACTACATACCTAAGAGACCTTGCTGCAGGCCTGGTTGTTATCACAAACCACCGCCAAAGTGCTGTGTATACAAATTTTGGCGTCTACCATGCAAAGCCGATTGTTTCGAAGTATAGATCTTGATATTACATTTTGTAACGACCGTAAAAAGAATTTGAATAAGCATGTTTTGTAATAAGCGCAAAAAAAGTGCAAAAACTTAATTTGTATGAACGTGATAAATTAAAAACACTAGAATGTTTGTAGA